TAATTTAGCTAGTTAATGTTTTAGTGCGTTTGAACTTCTAGAATGAGCGTTGGCGAGTCTTGATTGCTAGATTAAGTTGAAATAGATGTTGGATGTTGATTTGAACTCTTGGTGTGGTATTTTCATGGCTGAGAAGTGGTGGATCTCAAAGTTGAAGGTGTTTCTTGGAGTTTTTATCTTGATTTCAGAACTGATTTTACTGTACGTCCCTGGTTTTCCATTTTTATAAATCATTTTGTGGTTAGAATCTTGAAAAGTGTTCTTCATCAAAGTTGTTCACAAGATCTTGATCTATAACATATTTAAATTTCAGATTTTTCTGAGCTCAAATGGGTTACACGAAGGTCCAATTTCTTACCGAATTAGAACTGTTTTATACTGTGGATTCCGTGACCTTCGTGCCTTCTCAGATTTTTATAAAACTTTCCAGTTCGATTTCGACCATACTTCCTTCACAAGATTTGTAAAGGAAATCCATTTCTACAACGTGTAAAAATTTCAAAGTGTTTTGAAAGGATTTGATTTGTATAACGAGTATTTCTTTTGGTTCAGTTCCCCTGTTCCGGCGGACCAGTTCTGGGTTGTTTCCGAGCCATCAAAAGTGATCTTTGTATAAGGATTTTGGGATTGTGTTCTTCATGGAAAATATTTTTTTAGGTCTTGTTTATAACATATTCGAATTTTATAATTTTTGGAAATCATTTGCTATGCTTTTGAAGTCGATTTCCCAAATCATGCAAATCTGTCCAGTTTTACTAGAATTCCATAATCTGCCGGTTTTTACTTGAAATCTTTGGCTTTCGATTTCCGGCCTAAAAGAGACAATAACCGCAATTACCTCGCTTTTCAATAATGTTTATTTGACTATGATCCGATGTTGAATTCATGTTTTAAAATGAGGTTCACAAAATTGATTGACCATTTGCATGTGTGACTACTTGTTATTGTTGTGTGGCATTGATGTGAGCACGATTCATGGACGCATGGGCTAATTGAGAAGATAATAATTGGCCGGAATGCTTGTGTGCTCGTGTGGTCACACGTCGAAGCCGTCTTGCTGTGTATCGCTTGACGTTGCCCGATTTATCGGATGCCTGGGGATTATCTGGAGTGCCGATACCCCGGATGCCTTGTCGCGGCTCGAGGCCGGACTTGATGCTCCTTGCGGGATACCATCTTACTGTGTATCGTTTGATGTTGCCGTATTGGAATGCCGTCATTCTGTGTATCGTTTGACGTTGCCGTGCCCGACGGGGCGGGACGATGCCCGGTTATGCCGGAAGACTGCCATCTCGCTGCGTATCGCTTGATGTGTAGTGGCCAAGAGGGGTCGTAATAAATGGAATACGTGTGATGCATAGTGCTTGATTATGGGGTAGAAACTGCTAGGCATGGTATGGGACGTGCCCAAGTGGATTTTGCCTTATAATCGAGACACGCGCGACTATGATGCATTAATGCATGGGAAACCTCATGACACGTTCTGGGCATGTGATATGTTTGATGCATCGTTGTGACATATGACTATCTATGTTATGCATAAAATGTGTGCCAAGGCAAGGTAAGGATGCCTGTGGATGTTTAATAATGTTGCTGTTGATGCTGTATTGCCTGATTAGGAACCCCCGAGGTGAGTTGACTTTCTAAACGGGGCTTAGGCGTTAACTTATTGAGATTTTTATCTCATTTGTGGTTGTTAAACATTTTTCAGGCCCTTAGCATGTTGATGCACCCAGTATGGTTCGGGGTGCGTGGAAGCAGACTTTTGGTGAAGTAGATTGACCCCCAGCCCGACATCTTTTTGTAGACTATGTTTGGAAATGCCTGAAGTGGGCTTGTAAAAATGTTCCCAGGGGTTAATCAAGTAAATGTTAAAATGGTGTTTTGATTTCGATGTTGTAAACCATTTTCCTATCTATCCTTGTTTATTGTTATTGTCTGGGTGAATCTTTGTTTAGCTTCCGCATGCGTAATCAAAAGATAAAATGTTGGGTCGGCGACGCATCCTGGGACGTCGCTTCATAATGACCATTGCAGGATGTTGCGCGCTCGTGGGGTTCGGGGCGTGACATCCTACGACACGACACGACACACCTAACTTTATATATTAACACGAAGATACGTCAATCCAAATTGACATGAATTACAAGTACAAGTATGTTACGCCAACGCTGTTTGCCGACCCTAATTACAAGTAGTCATCTTAACCTTTGATTTGCGTGAGTCACATTTTAAATCCCGTTTGTTAAAAGTTCAAATGCTAGCCTTGAAAGAAGGGACCTAAACCCTCCCCTTGACACATATGCCATCTGCACGTAATGCAATGTGAGACTTGCATCCCGGGTCAATCAAATACCTAAAGAATCCAATTCTCACCAAACTCAATAAGTGGGCTTGGGTGGGTTGGGCACAGTATTCGGCCTAAAAACATTTTTCTAGATATGTTCGTGATTAAAAGAATACTGAACTTTGCATCTGAAATTGACCGGGCCTAGGCCCATGTGGGTTAAGGTGGGCGACTTGTGCCCAAGATAGAAATGGCTTATCTAAGCCCATCCATTTTGCCTACAGCCAACGTTGCCTAATCAGCCTTAGCCGATGTAACAGGCCGTCAATTAAATGATCAAGTATAACCTTTACCTAGGGGTATCAACGGTTCGGTTCGGTTCGGGTTTGCATTAGCTTTGTACAAAATCGAAGACCCAGTTCGATTCAATTCGCTTCAGTCTTTCGGTTTTCTTTTATGTAATATCAAGAAGAGGTTTGGTGAAAAAGGTGAGAGATTGTGTAAAAATTTTAATATTAAAAAGAGGGGCAATATTCAGTTCGGTTATACCGAACTGAAACTATCCAAACTGGAACAAAAAATAATTAATTTTTCATTATCCAAACCGAAACCCGAACCATTCCAGTTTCGGTTCGGTTTTGATGCCCCTACCTTAACCATCCTCTCTGCTTTGCAATTCTACCCACAACCCCCCACGGCCATAGAGCAGCCGGCAAGATAAGGAAAAGTACCAGAAGTGAAGGTGGAAGCAAAGGGCATGGCCTCCTATAAAACAGGGAGAGCATAGGTTAATATGAATATACTAGATTCTCTGAAATGTAAGACAATTTCTGTGCATGAAGGGTCCTTTTAGGTATGAGAGGTCCCTACACTTTTGCTACTCTTGTGGTGAGATTGGCCACCACGCCAAGTTGTTCGTGGGAGCTGTCCTTTTTGGAGTATTTTTTATGCGAAGAATCGTGACGAGCGAGGGCCTAAGGCAATGATACCAGAGACACCAACCAACTCTACTCATATTGTCTCTCTTATGAACAAAGGGGTCCTAGCCCTATCAAAACTCAAGCGAACAAACAGGAAAATAGAGTTTCAATCTCAGAGGAAGGGGACAAAATGGTGTTCCAGGGAAGTGTTGACCTTGAATTTGTAGAATTCTCAGATTTAGCAGGAGGCAAAGAAGGGCCATATTCCTGAAGTAAAAATAAGGGGTGCGGGCAATTCTGAAGGAAGCAAAATAAGGGCTCTAAAACTTCAGCTTCGGAAAAAAAAAATGGGGGAGATATAGTCGTTATAAACTCAACTTCTCGACACTCCAATCCAGATATTGAAAGGCTCAACTGAATGGGCTTTAATAGCTAGTCCTAATACGCTACTAGGTTACAAACGAAGCTTTCGTGTTGAAGCTTTTGTGTCGGACTTGACAATCTAAGCCTCAAGAGCTATCGTAGCTCAGGAAAGGCCAAGTGTCTTGTTCCTCATGGAAACCAAGAATCCAGAATTCGTGTTACAAAGGCTAAAAAGAAGACTCAAGTTCCAACAGGGTTTTGCAATTAATCCTGTGGGTTAGGCAAGGGGGATTAGCTGTTGTGTGGCAAGTTGGATTTCACTAAAGACAGAATCAGCTAATTTCAGTGAAATACTTTGCGGGGAACCATGTGGCTGAACATTATAGATTTGAATGCATTTAGAGAATTCGCAAATGCATGCTCTCTGATAGATCTGGAGAGTAAAGGGTGTGCATTCATAGGAATTTTAATCCAAGATACAACTAAGAAAATTCTCCAACACCCATTCATTGCGTGGTGGCACCGACGATTCGAACGTGAGGCTTTCGGCCGGTACAGATCAACAAGTTTGCTCTAATTTGCTTGGAGTTGGCGACAAATGGTATTGATATGAAAATTTCTATAAGTTCGAGTACTTGATTGCAAAAATATTCAAGATCAAGGACATAAAAGTTCAGTGACTAACGCGTGCTTTGGGTAAACATATTTTTTTTTCTATTGTGGGATAAGCGAGCACAGGAATTTGCATCGATATATATCTGAATAAAGCGAAAGCAAATTGGTTATCTCCACTTTTAGGGAAAAGAGTTCAAACTTGTTTGGTCGACACGTCGGCTTTTGAAGAGATCCCTAATGTAGGGAAGAATATATTAACATTCGATTTTCTTTTCCTTTGGACCTTTTCATAATGGACCGCAATATTTAGGTGCTTTCTCGATGCTAATTAATCCTAAACAATTTCCTACTCTATCAAAACTTTCCATTGATCCGCCAATTTCTTATATAAAGAAAACTTCCAAATAAATCCTTTTCCTTTCGTTATTTATTCTTATTCTCCATTTTCCATCTCTGATTGGATTGATTACTTCCATTTTTCCGATATTTTTTTAGTTAGGGATTAAAGTTTTTTGTTTTTTTGGGTCCGATAGGTAATAAAGGTATGTATTTCAATTGACTGTTTGAGTTAGGGAATAGGGAGGAGCAAAATAACGGTTCGGATCATTAGATCAACCGAGTCAATTCGTTTTTTGCGCTTTGGTACGACGTACAAGAGCAATTTTTTGTTTTATGAAAATACAGGAGACAAATATTTCAATTATTCTAAAACCGAACCGAACCGCGGACCTGCATGGTATAACTTCTTAATTTTTTAATTTCTCTTTATAATTCATACATGAAGCAGCCTATTAAAATAAGTTTGATTTTTATTTCAGTGTGGAATTTATGAACAGGGGACCGTTTCTCTTTCATGCATCTTCCTCATCAACAGAAATCTTGCCGGGATCCCAAGAATACAACAACATGGGAAAATCTGCAGCTTCAGAATAATGCAGCTTCGGAGCTCCGACCACCGCCGTCTCGCGAGCCTCCTGCGGTCCTGCACCGACGGTAGATCCTACCGGACCGGCAAGCTCCTCCATGCCCGCATCCTCCGCCTCGGCCTCCTCGACGCCACCTTCCTCTGCAACCGCCTCGTCGAGCTGTACGCCGCGTGCGGCGAGACGGGGCGCGCTCGCTCGGCGTTCGACGGCACGCCCCGTAAGGACGTTTACACGTGGAACGCGATTCTGGGTGCCTACTGCAAGGCCGGAGAACTGCGGTCCGCGCGCCGGCTGTTCGACGCAATGCCCGAGAGGAACGCCTTCTCGTGGAACAACGTGATTAGCTCCTTGGTCAGAAATGGGCTCGACCAGGAGGCCGTGGAGGTCTATCGTTCGATGACACTGGACGGTTTTGTGCCTACCCGTTTCACTCTGGCCAGTGTGTTCAGCGCCTGTGGTGCTTTGTTGGATGTAGAGGTTGGCAGGAGGTGTCATGGGCTTGCTGTGAAGATCGGTCTTGAGAAGAATATTTATGTGGGTAATGCTTTGTTGTGTATGTACGCTAAGTGTGGCCGCATTGACGATGCCATTTGGGCTTTTCGAGATTTGCCTGATCCAAATGAGGTTTCTTTTACGGCAATGATGCATGGCCTAGCGCAAACCGATAGAGTCCCGGAGGCCGTTGAGATGTTTAGACTGATGTGCAGACGAGGGATACCTATTGATGCCGTCTCCCTATCAAGTGTGTTGGGTGTTTGTTCTAGTGGGGGATATGATGAATCTTTCCTAGATAGTTGTGGTGGTGGGCATTCGTGCATACTTCAGGGCCAACAAGTGCATTCCCTCGTAATTAAACTTGGATATGGGAGTGATATTCATTTGAGCAACGTAATAATTCATATGTATGCGAAGAATGGCGACATGGATACCGCCGAGATGATTTTTGGTGATATGTCGGAGATTAGTGTAGTTACTTGGAATCTGATGATTGCTGGGTACGGGAACAAATGTGAAAGTGACAAGGCCATAAGATATATGCAGAGAATGCAATGCTGCGGTTTTGAACCAAATGAAGTCACCTTTATAAATATGCTTGTGGCATGTGTAAACTCTGGGAATGTTGAAATGGCTAGTCAAGTTTTTGAAAAGATGCTGTTTCCAACAGTTAGTTCCTGGAATGCCATGCTGTCAGGGTATTTTCAGAGTGGGAACCACATTGAGGTGATAAAGCTCTTCCAGAAGATGCAATTTCTAGGTGTGAGACCTGATCGAACATCTTTAGCTACTATTCTTAGCTCATGTGCAGCGCTTGAGGTTGTGGAGTTTGGGAGGCAGGTGCATGCAGCCTCACTAAAGGTTGCCGGTAACGCAGATGTATATGTTGCCAGTGGACTCATAACCATGTACTCAAATTGTGGAAAGATAGAGCTAGCGAAGCTCATATTGCATAAAATACCCAAACTAGATCTTGTTTGCTGGAACTCAGTGATGGCGGGTCTTGTGCTTAATTCCCTGGACATAGAAGCTGCTGTGTTATTTAAGCAGATGCGGCAAATGGAGATGCTTCCTACTGAATCCTCTTACGGTACTATGTTGAGTTGTTGCAGCAAATTTAGTTCTTCATTTTATGGGAGGCAGGTGCATGCTCAAATAGCTAAAGATGGATATGCAAATGATGTATGTGTAGGAAGTGCCCTTGTTCATATGTATTGCAAATATGGTGATGTAGATGATGCTCGAAGGTTCTTTGATATGATGCCCTATAAAAACACTGTTACATGGAATGAGATGATACATGGATATGCACAGAATGGCTTTGGACATGAAGCTGTACGCCTCTATGAAGATATGATTGGTTTGGGCGTGAAAGCAGATAGCATTACGTTCGTTGCTGTTTTAACTGCCTGTAGTCATGGTGGGCTTGTTGATGCTGGAATCAGTATATTCAATTCAATGCGGCAAGAACATGGCGTAGAACCTCTTTTGGATCATTATGTATGCATAATTGATTGTTTGGGACGAGCCGGGTGCTTCAATGAAGTGGAAGGGCTCATAGATAAGATACCTTATAGAGATGACCCAGTTTTGTGGGAGGTTCTACTTAGTTCTTGTAGGGTCCATGCTAATGTGAGTTTAGCAAAAAAAGCAGCTGGAGAACTTCTCCATCTGAACCCGCAAAATTCAGCCCCTTATTTGCTTCTTGCCAACATCTACTGTTCATTAGGAAGATGGGATGAAGCAAGGGCAGTAAGAAACCAAATGAATGATAACCAGATTGCTAAAGATCCAGGCTACAGTTGGATTGATATTAAGCATGAGATACAAACCTTCCTTGAGTATAATCCTGAGGTGGTTAAAGAGAGAATTGAAGCATGTTAACCTGTCGAAAACAGAATGAGGTAACCCATTCTTGGACAGTGTTTTTAAAAGATTTAGCCGGCTGGTGGTCAAGAAACTTGAGATGATTAGATCAGATGCAGTCTTGCAGGCATCCGTGCAGAATTGCACTGATTTCTATCCCAAGTAAATGAGTGTCCTGCGGAAAAGATGATTAGATCAGATGCAGTCTTCCAGACATGCAGTGGTCAATTGCACTGATCTCTATCCTAAGTGACCGGGTGTCCCACAGAAAAGGGAATCATCACCTTCTCGAGAATTACCTCTATGGGAAAACAAAAGGCACAGTTGGGGTATGCAGATCTTCTCTGTTGACATTGGCAGACAACTTGTCTTCCTTTCTGTCATTTTGACCTCTTAGATACTATAGAAGCAAGTCATATTTTTCATGCTTTTGTCAATCAGCACTTTGATTATTGCTGTAAAGTTTTACTTGTGATAGCTGATGACTCTATCCTATTATCTCAAAAACATTATAGCTTGGTGTGAAGGACAGCTTGATGAATAAAGCTGTAGCAGCACTTAGATCTGGCCACCTCAGTCTGAAGCTCGAAGAGACTTGGTTTTTCGAATACTGAGAGAGTTTTTCAAATTCTGACATTGGAGGGATGCAGTCTTGTGGCACAGCTGCACAAGAAATGTCTCTCATTATTCTGCCTGTGGAAGAATGAAGTGGAAAACATAACTCTGGTTGGATTTTACTGACTCGACATTAAATCAAGTCCTTAACCAGAGTTGGGGCCTCATGTCATAAAGGCTTCTTGCAGGTACCAGTCGTCAATTTTCATCTTTGCTCTCACTCTCCTCTAAACCTTGTAGTGATAAATGCTCTGTGTGAAATGTACTCTCTCCATGGTCTTCACTATGACAACTGTATTATTGCACTACAAACTAACATATTGCATAAACAGGAGTAGGGGTTTAACTCTTATCTGTCAGTGGTGGACTCAAAAACATTGAGTTTAATGGTACTTTCAATTGTGAGGTATTTTTATCTATCTTTCTCTGATTAGATTCGGTTTCATTTGCCTAAATCCTCCTCTCACAAGAGCTGCTTTCCTGCAACCTTGATGCCATAGAGCTTTGATCATCTAAAGCATTCTGATTTGATGATCTTAAGCTTCGAAATTTGTGTGAATATAATTTAAAAAAAGGGGCTTTTTGGGGTGTCTGCACAAGATTTAGATGGCATCCACTAACTTTGATCTTGAAGAACTGGTTTATTTATTGCACTCACATTGATATTCTTGACAAGCTTAGTTCCCCTGTTTTGATGACTTTAACCTGAACAAGTCAAGTATTGCCCTTTCTGAATTGCCAGCCATGTTTTCTCCAGCACCAAAGTTTATATAGGTCTAATCAACACAAAAGATCCAGCTTGATTGGTCCTCTGTGGATTAGCCTATCTGACATTCAAGTGCTATAACTGGGCAGTAACTGATGAAACTTATGGGGGTCACTTTAGAGTACTATGAGAAAACACAAGAACTTTATGAGGACAAGATGCTGGAAGGCATTAAGTGTTTGAAGCCAAATGCTGGCATCACAGCATATCCAGAAAATGACTATAACCTTGATGAGTATATAGCAGTTGGTTTGCCATCATACAAGATATAGTATATTAACAAACACAATGTAGTGAGGTAAAGATGAGTTCTGCTTGGATGGGAAATGAGCTAGGAATCATTGATTTGAGATGTTTGAACATGTACAAGGATGACTCTGCATGCTTCCATGCCTGTATCCAGTCCTTTAACTGTTTCGTTATATATATTTTAGTCCTCTAAGTCTCCAATTGTCGAATCACGTCTCTGATGAAGTTATAGAAGTTCATCAAGTTCTTTTATTAGTTCCTTTGGCTAAAATCTTGTAAAAAGCTTGCACTTACCTTTTGTAGCTCTCTGAAAATTTTAGTAGGTAATTAGGCTGTCCTTGGCTTAGTTTTGGTTTTTCTATGAACTTTGCAGGACTGACAGGCCGTGGCACACTTCGAGAGCTAGGAAGAGCCACAGTGCTGGTAGCTTGAAGATGATCTTGATCCAAAAACTAGTGAGATGAATATAAGATATCGGCATTAGGAAACCCATACTTAAGAATAATAGCCACAACAATGTCCGGTCGTATTCTGCAGTGTAATCTTTAAGGTCTTTAGTTGGTGGCAAAAATTGGTAGCACAGTCATGCCATAGAAAAATTATTCATCTTCAACTTTAGTACTAATTCCTATCCTGAAATTTGTAAATCTCATCCCTGGTAAATTCTTCCTTTATATTTGAAACTATGACTTAGTGGAAGGGAGCCCTTTTGCTTCTTCCAAAACCGATAACTCCAACATCATCCTCATTGCATCACCCTTGAGAATTCACCATGATGAGATATTATTCTGCAAAATAATGAGCCTTTGTCCTGTCACCCTGAAGCTCCTTCTCATACCCAAAACCACATGACCTGATGGCTTTGCCATCCACTGATTTCCAGGAAAAATTATGAGAGGATTCAGTTTGATGGCTTTTGATGGACCAGTTGATATGATATAGCATAGAGGGAGGCGGAAGCAGGAATCTTGCCATGTCTCGCATTTCAGTTGACGGAGTTGCTTGAGGTAATTGCCAAGGCATTTGGTGCTATAGGGCTCTGCCTCGTCCAGCATTGCTCCTCCTTTTCCAATGAGACTCACTGCCCTGGTAATGGATTTTCTGGTTGCATTATTCTCCCTTTGTTTTGCTCTCCTTGCGCCTTCATTTCCTCCCCTCCCTCGATAAACAAATAATGACTCTTTGGATTAAGAGACTGTCGTTCTTTTCAGAGAAAAGTTTGGTGCTTTCCATTGCAGTGTCATTTATGAATCAGGTACATTAAAGAATATTCTGGAGGGATTTTTATAATGATAAATCTTAGAGTCTGGCTGAAGAACTCGGCTGAACTCTTTCGCTCGTGCGCAGAACTTGAGTAACCTAAGTTGAACGAGTTGGTGAACCTTACACCAACTTATTTGAATCAACCCCGTGGTTCAACCACCAAATCAGAGCTATGATTCTGAAGTCACTGTTCCCATTAACTGTTTAGTTTTTCGTCATTCTTAGATGCTAGATGCGTCGAACCTTGGAACACATTGTCAGAGAAATTCTTAACCTGTTTAAGATGGTTATTTAGCCTCGTTGTCGTACATGAATTGTGAACATATATTTCACCCCTGTTTTTTTAGTTCCAACTTGCCTTACACCCTTGGCTTACATCTAATGACACCATCTCTCTGTTTCTTAAGCTACTGTTTTCCATTTGCATCCTCCTCTGCCATCATGTACAATGTCCACAAGATTATCTCAAACTCAAACTCTTTTCCACCGCATCTTTGCTTTTCATCTACATAGTACCTGTACACAGAAGAAAAGGGTCTCTTTTCAAATTCAAGCCTATTGACATCTCTAGTTAAGCTCACATTCCTTGAAAACACTCAGTTAATGGATGGGAGTCAACTAGGTATATAACTGCTCAATCCCTATCATATACTTGATATGAGACTTTGTTTTACAAACACCTCTACACATGCACCTTAACAGGCTCTAACGTCATCACCCAATAGTTTGCTCTGTTCGGGGCGAATTATGAAAGTAGCACGCTCTTTGCGAATCGCGGACGACGACAAGGTGGTGCATAGATTGCCCATAGAGTATTCAAACTTGAGCACCAACCATTGATACATCGTACCATCACCTTTGGGTAATACATAACAGAACTGTAGAAGGTTGCCACCAGGATTTCTCATTGGACTGGACAGGACCACAATTTAAGATCCTGGCATGGTATTGACACTACCTTCATCAACCCCAAAGTAAGAACCTGCAGAATTTATGCCTCATGTCTCCCTGGAAACCTCAAATTTACAAATTCCCAAGCTCCCATGAAACCACAACTCTTGTCTCTATAAATCTGCCCCTACACACCCAAAACACCTCATCACCAGTCATTTCCAAAAACAAGTAAAAATCTTGCAAGAACCCTCAAAACTCTTCTCTACTTGACAGTTATCAGTTATGAAGTGCCTGTTTTTCTCGGCCCTGTTCCTCGTGTCGGCCAAGGCCACCATCCCGTGCAGCGTGGTCAATGCCAAGGCGGCTCCGTGCGTGATGTTCGCCAAGGGAAAGGCTCCAACATTGCCTCCCGCTTACTGCAGCGGCCTGCAACAGCTCGCCCAGAACATCCGGTCGGTCAATGACAAGAAAGACATTTGCCGATGCTTGAAGGCTGGCGCCAAAGTCCATTGGGGGATTGAGGGACAAGTTCCTGAGACAGATTCCTACAGCTTGCCACATCAATGTCGGGTTCCCTGTTTTGGCCAATATCAACTGTGGAAAGTAAGTTATTCCGCTTCCTCTCAATGATATGACCTCAAAATTGCAACATGTTTCCAAGGATTTGATCATATAGAAGCGAACTTGATCCTTTGTGAGATTTGGCTATGGACTTCTGAAATTCTTGATGCAGATCTAGTCCAATCCTGTCATCGCCGAATAAATGAAGAACATGACTGATGTTTGGACACTTTGATTTTACAGGATTCACTGAGCTGTATGGAGATGATGCAGTGATCATAGTTATGTGATAGAGACCTAAGAGAATAAAATCGATTGGCCTGTGATGCGTCAGATTCAGTAGTCTGGCCTTGATTGTTGTAATCAGAGTGGTCGGTTGATTTCAATAAATCAATTGAATATGTCCTTTTGTCTTTCAATTATGAAGCATTATGGCATAAACCCGGGCAGATAATAAGCAAATTATTATGGTTGAACGCCCTCCCTCGGATTCCAAACAAATTCACCAGCCTATGCATAGTTCCCCTTTCTCTCAGACTGTTCCCCATTCCGAGGCTTGGTCGATCAACTCAATTTCTTTAGCAAACTACTGAGCAGCATCTAAATATAAGCATCTTGGACTCAAGTGATCTGAAATCCCACATTTCTATATAATTACTCAATGCAAGATTCACTGGCATGCCCAAAACACTTCTATGCTGATGATCTCACAGTAACACGAAACTTCATCTTGCTGGTGGATCAATCAGTGGAGCAAATGGAACAGAGCAAAAGAAACATGAAACACTGAACTTGTTGCAGAAAGGGAAAAGGATAGGTTCATATATCTGTGCTTGTCTGCACTTCCATCTATGTTGAGCATATCAGTATGCCCTCTCATTTGAACTGCGAGATGTCGTACCAATGCAACAACGGCAAGCTACTCCGGATTCAAGAATTTGGGCTCTGCACCCTGCTCTTCCCAAACGAGTTGAATACGCCAAATCTGAAAAGATTTACTGTTATCAGAAGAGCAATTAGCATGTCCACGAAGGAAATTAGACAACCGCCCTAGATGAACTTAGGATTTATTTTGGTTTCTAACTTGCCGGGATTAAGCCTGAATGCATCTAGCCACTCCTAGAGCATACCTTATTCCGAAGTTGAAAAGTTCCCAAGTGCATCCACCCTCTTAGTCAACATTCCTTACTTGAAAAAAGCCATCTAATTAACTCGAACGGATATCGACAAATGTCATAAAGAACGCCCATTTTCCCTTCTTAAGGATATGCACGGAGTCAGATAGATTGTCGATGCCACCGGGGACTGTTATTTCCATCACTTTGGGATTCGAAGGCGCCGTACTCGACATCCCCGCGGCACAATTCCGCAAAAACATCTTTTGATTTCGTATGCTTTGACTTCAAACCATCACCAGGACGAAAATTTCTCCGGATCAAGTTGTAATTAGATCATTGCTTGAAAAGGTTTTTGTCGATGATCGCATGTGAAGATTACATGGATTATGGTCCTCAAGAATTCTAGCAGCTTGTTGTATTGCGTTAGACGAAGCTTGCATGAAAAGGGGGTCGTTGCACGTTTCGAGTAATATAGCTCTGATTACTTGAGAATTGTGTTAATTTGTACTTTCACATGCTTATTAACATTATTAGTTTTACCTAGGCTAATAATCCATGCGATTTTGAGGACCCTTTAGTCATAGATGTCAAAGCCCGGTCTTTTTATCAAAATGAGTGGAAATGATCCGTATCCTATTATAGTATAATGCCCACTACGAGTGAGGAAATTTCTAATACACATCGGTGCCGTATAGTCTCTTTTTTCACGGCTCTTTTACACTTGGTTAGGTCGCAAAAAATTTTACGTCGTGCTTTTTGACATGGAATTATTTAATCTTGGAGAAAATATTACACGTATATATTGCACTCAACACCATGGAAAGAAATACTTAGTCACCTCCACATTCATCTTGTTCATTCGAAACCCTCGCTCATCAAAATTTTCTTCTTCTTTTGATTCAATTAAGTTTGAGGGTAGTCAAATTGCGTATCTTCTTCATCGAACGTGGTCTACTGTACAAGATATTGTATTATCTTAGTCAACAAAAGTTGATTAGCTTGAATTGACATCTAAATTCTGTGCCATATCATCAGGTTGGCAGCTGGTCACACCACAAGTGGTGATCATCCACTTCGGATTGTATTGTCCATCATGAGGTCCAACCAGACGCTTGTTGTCTTTGTAACAGCGTCAAGATTATATAATGACTCAATTTAAAATACAAGAGCATGAAGATATTCACCAAATAATACTACGCATAAAATTATGTGTTTCGTTTAATAAACTCGACCCTACGTGGGAGCGAGCTTGGCGAACTATAGCATACCTTAATTTATTCAAATCTGGACATCCTGAGAAGTAGTCAATGTTCTTTCATTGCGTAGAGCTTGTCTATCATCTCATGAGCTAAAAGCGCATTGGCAAGGCCTTCCTCGTAATAATAATAATAATAATAATAATAATAATAATAATAGTCTGTAAAGAAATTTTAGGTCTATGTTGTGTAATTTCTTGTTCTTGACAGACGTTGTCGAAACTAATAATCATCCTAACATTATTTTTTTCTTTAAAGTCTCGATATTGAGTTCTTATTCTTGGAGATTAGACATATAATCCCACGAAAGATGAATATGAGGGCCTTAGGTAAGCCCTTCTTGTCCTAGGCCCATTCAATTTCGCATGCGAAGTTTAGTATTCTTTGAATCAAGCGCACCTATTGAGTCTGGCCAGAATTGGGTCTTTTAGGGTATTGGATTGACACGTGACACGAGTCTAACATTGCATTATGTGGAGATGGCATATGGGTCCTAGGGGAGGGCATCGGACCCATCTCTCAAGGTTAGCAACCTTTGCTTGTCATCCATCTCAACTCTTGAATCTCCTACATTTCGTATGAAACTCACTTGATCTAAAGATCAAGCGTATCAAGTCATCGGATGCACCACACTGGTTACGTCTAGTAAGCTAGTAATAAGCATTTGAGCCCTTAAAAGATAGGGTTTTTTACAAGGGATTCACGCAAATCAAAGGTTAAGATGCCTGCTTGTAATTGGGGCAGGTATACGGTGTTGGCATGTCGTAATTGTGTTTGTAGTACTTGTCAATTTGTATTGGCATAAAATATCTGAAGTTTGATTTTTACATACCAAATGACGAATTTAACATTTGAGTGTATTAATTCGTGTCAACACATACATTTAGGTGTATTATGTCTTGTCATATCCGGATTTTCTCTATGTAATTCATGTTTTATCTCGTGCAATGCAAATGGGTCTGTCCAGCATTGCCAATCCTACTTGTAGTCTCATCATATCTATCTTATGCATCCACCCTAATGAATCTTCGACTGCTCCTTGCACGATGTCATTCTTTGCTCTTTGTTTATTTTGATTTAGGGACACAAGACAATTGATTTGCAATGACCTTGGGAGCTGTAACCGTTTGTAAATGAGGCCGGTGTGTAAACAGGAGGCCTAGAATCTCCAAAGTGTAGTTACAACTGTACTTAGTATAATAACTACTAATGGCGGTTATGGTTGGGGATTATATATGATGGCGTGTAATTATCATAGGGAACGCAATCATCAAGAACAAATGCCCGACGTACTTTTTCAGTTTATCAATATTAATGTCATTCAAAATTTCTGTCATTTTATAGTCCTTTACTTTTAAATTTATTGTTCATTTTCTCCATTACACCAATTCAACTCTTATCTGAAATCACCATTGATCGACCCCATTTAACAAAAAACTAGAGATCAACATGTGGTGAAATGCTTTTCACTATTTGGCTCAACATCCATTTCTAGTGAAACATTAACTTTAGATAAATAAGTGTCAATTCGTGTCAATATACGAAGTTACGCGTTTAGTGTCATGTCATATTTGGATTTTCTTTCTGTTATTCGTGTTTTATCTTGTGCAGTGCGAGGGGACCGTGTCTAGGACCGCAAATCTTACTTGCAATCTCACCATCTCCATTCTTATGCATTATCCACTCTAATGAATCTCCAACTAGTCCTTGCACCATGTCAATATCTGCTTTTTTGTTTCTTCTGATTTAAGGACACAAGCCAATTGTAGTGAGGTGTGAACATGCAATTCGTTCTATGAAATTAATGTCGAGGAATTCATGGGAGAAAATGGAGGGAAACGTGGGGATGTGGCGAGAATGCCAATGTTGACTAGTTCTTGTTACTTCTGGTGGCTGTTGAAACTCATCCTTGACGGATGAATAATGCCTAACTTTAGCGGATATGACATTTTCCTCGGGACTATTCTGCGAGACTTTTGCCTTAGGACAAAATATTGACGCAACATGCACAAGATAAAAGAGTTTTGTGATGAATTTAGAATCAACCCTTTTAACGTTTTGATTGTATATCAATTGAGTTTTTTCTTTTACCTTTTATTTTGATCGATTGAATCCTTATTTTTTTAGAACAAATTCTATAATCAAGTCCTCAACTCGTAGTCTATGAATTGCGGACCTCGGAAACCCTACGTGGCTCTCAAGTCCGTGGCCACTTGGCATTTAAAAGGGCTAGGTGGGAGACGCCTAAGGTTTTCTAGCGTTGGAAACAAATCGACAACAAGTTGAGGATTTGGTCGTAC